AGAAGAAAGGCATATAAAGGACTTTTGATAGAGGAACAACCAAATTGCATCCATGCTATATACATATAAGGATTGAAATAATAATAATAATAATAATATATGATTGGAGAAGTTGGAGAGAGAGAAAATATAATATAAAATAATAAAAAAAAAACAAAAAAAAGGTAAATGTAATTTGATATGGACGAACGATATAATACTGTTATTTTACGGGGCTTCTATTTTCACACACAACTTCCTCTCTTTCTATATCTCTTATTAACACACACACACACCTAATAAATTTGAATTATTATTTTTCACTTAGTATATATCCTATTGTACCAAAATACCCTTACTTTTTTCATTCTCCAAACTCTAACCCTAAAACAGCCACCCACTCACCTTCACGACAACCTCTTTTTGCCGTCGCTATCATCTCTGGCAACTCTTTCCTCTGGTGAGGGGTTACAGAAAGTAGGGCTGGGCAAAGAACCACCCAACCTCACAAACCGCCTGAACTGACCCTACTTGTAGCATTATGGGCAGTTTCGACATAAAGAGTGGGTCGAATGCGGGTCTAATTTTCTGTAAAAAATATCGGGTTGTCGATTTTGCCCCTAAACTGCACTCGCACTTTCTTTTTATAAAGAAAATAAACCCTAAAAGGGCCAAACCTTTACAAGTTTCCTTTCCTTTCTTTACTTTTCCTTAGCTAACGTACCCCTAGCAGCAGCAGAAGAGAAAGCGACGTAGCAATATCACAACACTTCGCGGCAATCGGCGACGTAGCAGTAGCACAACACCTCGCATTGCTAGGTCTCTCTCTCTCTCTCTCTCTCTCTCTCTTGATTTATCGTTCTCTTTCTATATATATAGCCTTATAAATTTGCTTAATTTTATAATTAAAGCCTAATCCAAAAAAGAGTAGCTCAAAATAGCCCAACTTGCAAACTGAACCGCACCCGTCCGCACACCTGATTGACTCACCTGCGCAAACCGCAAACCGCATTGCGGGTAGTTACAGGTATGTTTTTCCAAAACCGCACTTGATCAAAATCGATTTGTGACCACCCCTAGCAACATGGGAGGGTTGCCATCGAAGGATATTATTTAATTTTAACCACATTATCATTTAATTTTGAGGAATTTAGCCACAAGTCTCATTTTAAAGAGTTATTTAAGCTTGAGTCTCATGCATAATAATTTAATCTTTTAAATCCAATTAATTATTTAAGAACAAATTACATGATAATGGAAAATAGGATAAATAATTACATCTCAGTGGCATCTTTTTATCTAAAATTATACATTTCATTTTTCATTTTAAATTATTAATTTAAAATTTTGTTAAATATATTTAATATCATATCATTTTTTAGATATCGTCGATATCTTTTTAAATGATATTAATTTTGTACGGGGAGCAAATATTCCGGCAAAAAAAACAAACGGATTGTTTGGAAATTGTTAAATTAGTATACTTTTTTAATTTTTTACAAAAAAATATAAAATATAAATTAAATTTAAAATAATGTAATAGAAAAATAATATAACCTAAATAAGATGATTGGAAATCAAGTAAGATAATATCTAAACAAGCACAAAATTTTGTTATTTAAAAGTGAAGTGTCTCAGTGAGTTTGAGTGAGAGTGTGACGCGTGTGTTTGTGTGAGTGTACGACATGTAACGGTCAGAAAGGAGTGTAGTGAGAGTTAATGGGCAAACTGATACCAAACAGGGCCTTGCTGGAGTAAAAATCTTGGGATGGAGATGGGAGTTATCCTAATATGAGTTGGGAGAATTACATATTAATAAAATTTAAGGTAAAAAATTACAAAAAATATAGTGTGTGCAAGTTAAAGACTTTCCTAACGAGTTGGGAGAATTACATATTAGTAAAATTTAAATGAGTTGGGAGAATTACATATTAATAAAATTTAAGGTAAAAAATTACAAAAAATATAGTGGGTGCAAGTTAAAGACTTTCCTAACGAGTTGGGAGAATTACATATTAGTAAAATTTAAGGTAAAAAATTACAAAAAATATAGTGGGTGCAAGTTAAAGACTTTCCAAACAAATTAAATCTTTAAATTTAACCCCATCCATCATCTTTAAATGACAACCAATCATATTATAATCATAACTGAGAAGCAATTTAAGTAAGTGGGCGTTTGGAACTAGCGAAAATAGTGTTTTTTTTTTTTGGGTGTCTTTTTTAGTTATTTTTTTTAAAACATATTTGATTGTTGCTAAAATAGTAACTATTTTTTAGGTTTTTTTTTTTTTTTTTTGTTTTTTTTTTTTTTTTGACTTTTAACCTTTTTTTATTTATAAAAAGCTAACTTTTTAAAGAGATATGACCTAATATATAGGGGTGTTTTGGAAACTTCATAAAAAGTTAACTTTTTAGAATTTTTAGCTAAAAAAAGCCATAAAAGGCCTATTTTGAGAAAATAATAAAAAGTGACTTTTTGACTTTTAATCAAGCTTTTGACTTTTTAGACAAATAATTTGGGAAGATGATAAAAAGTTATTTTTGACTTTTTTGATTAATAATGTCAAATCGTAATAAAATGACCAAACTATCCACATTCAATTTAAAATATTTACAATTTCACCCATGTTGCACATTTTGACCCATGAGGGGTAGAATTGTAATTTCACTAATGGTTGAAAACCAACTTCCCAAATGTCTTTAAATACAAAAAAGTCAACTTTTGACTTTTGTTACAAACCTAAAAAAGTGACTAAAAGACAAGTTTCCAAAACACCCCATAGCTAGTTTTCTTACCCAAAAAAAGTCACAAAAAACAAAAAAGCCAGTTTTTAATCAACTTCTCAAAACACCCCACACCAATGTTTTCAAAACCGGGAACCGGTGAGTGAATCGAAAAAGGGACCAGGTGGACGGGTCACCGGTTCAATCGTCAGGTCAAAACGGTCGAACCGTGACGTCATAATTAATATTATATAATTAAAAAATATAACTATAAATTATAAATAAAAAATATATATATAAATAATCAAATAAAAATAAAAATTGTTGCATGGTATTTATTATTAATATTTAATAAAGTCATAATTAATAAAAAAAGTCACTTATTTTAAAGAAATTAAATTTTTTAAACATTCCCTCCATACAAATTGATTGAATGCTAGATTTAATTTTGGAAGGAAATGAAATTTTCAACCCTCCCTCCAATCAATATGTTTTAAATAATTTGATTGAATCCCACATAGAATTTTGTAGGTTCTCTTTGAAAAATATTTTCCTATAAATAGGAATAGAGTTTCATAATCTTCTCAACTGAAGCTTTCAATGAGACTCTTCTTTATGAGAGGAGACTCTTGAAATAAGAATTTTTTAGTCAAAATTTTGAAATATATTTATATATATATATATATATGAAAGAAAGAAAGAAAGAAAATTTTAAAAGAAAGTAAAAAAAAAAAACCACCTCCCGACCCGGTCCACCGTTCAACCACTGGGTTACCGATTTTTACCGGTTTTGCTTTCACTTCAGATTTAGGGGGGTTGACCGGACTGGAACAAGGCCCGGTTCGATCGGCCGGTCCGATCCGGGTTTGAAAACATTGCCCCATACTATTATGACCTTTTTCAAGTTAGGCATCAGGCATTCAACTTCTTATGTTGTGCCAGCGTATTTATGATCAAAGGGGATGTTTGGCAAAAGTTATTTTTTGATTTTTTGGATTAAAATTTATAAAAAGATAAAATAAGCTAAAATTGTTAATAAGACAAAATGTCACATCAAATCCATAATCATTTTACTTTTTCTCTCACAAACATCACATCTAATTATAAAAAAATTCAACTATCTTCCAAAACACAAAGGGTGTGTTTGGTTTGTATTTGTAGAGTAGTTTTTGAGATAAAAAGTACGAAAACTTGTTTAGTTTGCCTTTTTTCAGAAATGGTTTTAGAAAATTATTTTGGGGAGAGAGTTTAAAAAAAAATGATTGATTTGATGTGTATGAGAGAGAGAGAGTGATTTTGGAAAATAGGTAACCAAATAAAATTTTGAGATTTTTTTTAAAAAAATTTGTTTGCTTTGATTACTTTTGAAAATTTGGTTGTAGAGAATTTTTTCCATAAATTTTTCTGAGAAACAAACCAAACAAGGCCAAAGATTTTAACCTATTAAAATAACCTACTAAAATAACAACTTCCAAAACACCTACATTGAGTGAGCTATATTTATTTACCATAATATTAAGGTTATGTCTGATAATTTTTTGTGTTTTATTTGTTTGCAAAAATTTTGAAAAGTAGGAAAGAAATACTTTTTTTTTTTTTTTTTTTTTTTTTTTTTTTTTTGAAAAATTTTTTTTTTTTTGAGAAACACAAGCTAAAGAGATATATCATTACTAAAACCAGCTACGAAGTTCTGATACAAAGATACCATATGCAAGGATTACATCAACACTAACCAAAGACGAGAGGCAAGACTAAGGGCTCGACTGAGAATAGGTTTTTTTAGTATTTTTTTTTTTAATTAAAATATGACGAAAAATATGCAAAAAGTAGAAATATAAGAAAATCTTGAATTTTTTTGGTATAAATTGTTGATTTTTTGTTTTTTTTTAGTGATTTTTTTAATTTTTAGACTAAAAAGTGATATTGTCAAATGAGACCTAAAACCAAAAAAAAAGGAACCCTGGAAGCCAATCAAAATGGCTGGAGAAGAAGAGCACGACGGGTGTTTTGAGGAGTTAGTTAAAAGCTGACTTTTTAAATTTTTTTATGTAAAAAAAGTTGGCCTTTTGTGAATTTTTTTTGGGTAAAAAAATTAAAAAGCTAAAAAATTAGTTTTTTTTTTACTTGTTGCCAAAAACACCACTAAAGAAAACTGATTTTGTTGCCAAAATAAAAAAAAATATAAAAGACTAATTTTCAAAATTTTTAAATTTTATAAAATTAAAAAAATGATTTCACTTGTGATTTAAAACATATTATTTTCTACCTCTTCTTGCCACTACAATCCCTACGTATTTAAAATATTTAGTATAATATTTATTAAAATCTGAATGCATGCCTCATTTGAACAGGGCAATAGGTGTTTGGCACCCTCCCAGATCTCAGATCTTCTCTCTGATCTCAACCAGCAACGGCACTTCCGTCATCCACCGTCGAGAGTTTGATGAGTTAGCCACCATGTCTTCCCAAAGCAAACGCAGAGAGATGGATTTGATGAAACTGTAAATCTCCAATTTTTTTTTCTTCCATTTAATTTATTATTTTTTTTGTTTTTTTTAATTGTTGGGTTTTGATTGTTGTAAAATAGGATGATGAGTGACTATAAGGTGGAGATGATCAATGATGGTATGCAAGAGTTCTGCGTGGATTTTCATGGACCGTAAGACAGTAAATCATCTATACCCATCTCTGATTTTTATTTTTATTTTAATTATATATTTGTTATTGATCTATGTGTATCTATCTGTATTTCAAGTACATATGGTGTTCCCTTTGTGGGTTTATGATATTTTACACTCATTGTATTGTTCAGCTGAGTTATCTTTATATTGGCTCCCAAGTTGTAGATTTTCCCCTAATTGAGCTAAAAGATAATTTGAGTTGTCAGACTTAAGTTTGGCATTGAGTTGGACCTTTGTAACCCTTTATTTGTCATTCTGATGATTTAGGGGTAAATTTGTGTTTGATGGTTTTGAAATGGGTTTCAAAACCCATTTCATCGAATTATTGGTTTGTGTGATTTTTTATTTTTGTTGATTAGGTACGTGTTTGGGTATGATTTGGATTTGTGTTTGTGTTTCTAAATTGGTGGAGGAGGTTGGTGTGGCTGTGGAGGTCAACTGAGACATCAATGAATGGTAGAGCAACTTTGTGTTTGTGTTACGAAGGTAAGAATGAAAGGAGATGTGAAGTTGCTCAAAAATTAGTGGAGCAATTTTATTGAAATATTTAGGTGGGTTGAAAGAGTAGGTTTTTTTTTTTTTTTTGGGATTCATTTCGTAGTATGGTATACAAACTGAGCCTTGGGTTTGAAATAATAATTGATCCTCATGAAATGGTTTTCAAATGGTTTTTAAGTGATTCTTTATTAAAATATATTCTTAAGTGATTTTTCAAATGGTTTTCAATGTTTCATCATTTCATCGAAATGTTTCATTGTGTTGGATTTGGGTTATTTTTATTTTTATTTTTATTTTTGTTGATTAGGTTGTATTTCTAAGATTTTGGTTTCGGTTTGTGTTTGTGTTTCTAATATTTATTTTTCTAAACCTTTTATGTTTCTAAGATTTCTGTTTGGGTTTGTGTGATTATGTATGCATTCAATGGAACCACAGAAAAAGTTGGAAACAAAACAAAAGAGACACATCAATTTGGGTTTGTGTTTCTAAGATTTGGATTTGTATTTGTTTTTCTAAACCTTAAACTGATGTGTTTGTGTTGGATTTGTGTTTCTAAACCTTAAACTGATATGTATTTGGGTTTCTCTTTCTTTTTTTGTGTTAGTTTTTTTTTTTTTTTTTTTTCATTCATTTTTTTTATTTATGCAGCTTTCAATTTATATGGGTTGGTGTTAAGTTCTATTATGTATTTGGATTGGTGTTTCTAAACCTTAAACTGATATGTATTTGTTTTTCTTTTGTGTTTTTGTATTTTTTTTGTTTTGGTTTGTTGTGCATTGTTGCCAATAAAAAATCTCACAGAACCACGCAAAGGGAACTCAAGATTTTGGGTTCAAAATACCACTTGAAATTTTGTTTAATGCTTCTTGAGGACTTTTCTACAAATTAGTTTAAGCAATATGAGAACATTGTTTAAGGTAATCCTGTGTCAACACTCATTAACTTTGTTTAGAGTGCACATTACACATAGAGGCAGATTTAGATAAACATATTTGGGTTTTGATTTCTGTTGAATATATTGTTACAATTTTTCTTTGTATGATTTATTTTTTTAGAAATCGGAGAGCTTGCAATATTTGATTTGGAAAAAAAATTTGACTGTCATAAATGGTTAATTTTTTTAAGGTTGTATGAAAATTCTTATGAATGTACAAATGATGGAATTTACTTAGTATATGGGAAATACATACATCTCAAGAAAAATGTATTGTCACATTTAGTTAATCATTTCATGTGCCAAGTATTCTATATCTTCATGTGCCAAGGGAGTTTTCTGGCCATGGAGCTTTCGGCCATGGAGTTTTCTGGCATTGGAGCGTTCTCAGTTGGATCAGTGGAGCGTGCAGCATGCTTTTTGATACTATGGAATAGTGTTGTCAGGCGTGGGTCTTGACATTGGTTTGTGTGGGCTGTTGAAAAGAAGAGCTTGGTTGCTTTTGGGAGTGGATTGCACAACACTTCTTAAATATTTCAACATTTTCTTTTTTATTTTATTCTACTTCAACCCGCATGTCTCTCACGGGTCATTTTATTTTATTTCTATAACCCAATTTAAATTTTCACTCATAATTCATGGACTATTTCTTCATCTCTGTTGAAGACATGGTGAAGAAAATGAAAAGAAACAGAGTAAGGAAAGAGATAGTGGTGGGTTTTCTTGTTTGTGATGCGCATTCAAATGCTTGGCCACTATCACATTTTTATTTATTTTACGTGCTATTCAAATTGTGTTGATATATTATTATTTTTTTCAATAGGAATGCAAAATGTGTTGATATGTTATTATTTTTTTCAATAGGAATGCAAAAAAAATATGTGAAAGACAGAGCCCGCAAAGGACTGATGGCTACTTCTTTCCACCGACAAATCACTTGGACTACCAATGGTATTTGTTTATTATTTAGTAAAATATTTGAAAGATCTCAGATTGTTTAGATTGAACACATGCAAATAGTTTAGATTGAAAATAAATCAAAAATTTAATATTTAAATTGATAAAATTAAAACTTCATAGTTTATTTTGTTACAAGTATTAAATTCTAAGGTTTTTTTTTGGGGGGTAATTGTTAGAATTTCCCATCTTTACCTTCACCTACTTCACCACACACTCCACTTTACCTAACCCACTATCACCTCCACTACACCTACTACCACATTTTCTTCTATATATAGATTGTATAGGAATTGTAATTAATCAATCTTGTAACACATCTATCAATCAATCAATAATACATACAATTAATTCTCTTTCTATCAATTTATCTTACATTTTCCTAAATTTTAATGATACCTAAAATTCAAACAAGATTGGCTTATGTGTGTGGCAGCATACAATGTTTCTAATATATTCATGTTCCCTATGATTAATTAAATGTTGAGAATGAATTAAATTAATTAATTAGATATAAATTAGATAAAAAACATTTTTACGAAAAGGTGTATAAAAAAGAGAGGAATTTCATTGGCATGCTGATTAGGCCACTAACTGCAAAAGCCACCGGAGTTTTTTCACATGCCCCAAACCATGGCATCCCAACATGATTATTTTTTTTAATTAAAAAAAAGTTAGATTTGATTAATAATTAATTATCATCTTGCCAACAGCTTGAATAAATTAATGATTAAGATTCTTAATGCATGTTTTATACCAAAAAAAAAAAAAAAAAACTAATGTAGACATTGGGTTATCCTTTTCTTTTTCTTAAATGTTTATATTTTTATTTCTTCGCATCTTGACTAATAAAATCTATCAGATGTTTATATTTTTATTTCTTCTCCTCTTGATTGGAACCCATTTTTCTATCCATGGCAGTTATTTTTTTAAATAAAATTTTGGATTTTATTATCCAATTTGCTACCAAGTGATTTGGAAAAAACATTTGACTGCCATATATGATTGTTAATTTTTTTAAGGTTGTATGAAAATTCTCAAGAATGTACATGTAATTTAGTATTGCTAATTTTTTGTTTCTTGGTGTCTAAAATTATATGAGTAACACTTTTAGGTTGAACTACAACAGTTATGGACAATATCATTATTTTTCGTCAAGTAAGTTTTTTTTTTTTTTTCTTCATATAAATTTAAGTACTTCTCTTATAATGTAAGGCCTATTTTTTTTTTTTAACTTATCATATCTAATTTTCTTGTAATGAAATGTTTTTTTTCTCATACTTTATGGGTGGATATCGAACCGTAATATCAACTCCCTATTGCTGGTGTGCATTTTAATTTTAATTTTTTTTAGATTGCAGAGCATTGGCTGGTGTGCATTGTTTGGTATTTACTTTCCTTTTATATTTGATTTGTTTGGAGTTGTAAAGTATATGCTTGTATGCATTATTTGATATTTAATTTTCAATTTAAATTGTTGAGATTGAAGAGCACTTGTTGGTATGTTTTATCTGGTGTTTAGTAATTTTTATTTTTTATTATAGAACGTTAACAAGTGTATAATAGCTTTGATTTCTGTATTTTGTTTAGTGTTTACAATTTTTTTTTTTTGGGACTTGCTTTTATATTTTGATTTGCAATATTGGTGAACATTATAAATCTTATATGTTTGTTTCTTAATTTGCATTAAGACTAGGGGAAATTATTATTTTATTTGAGTTATGTACAATGTGTGGTACAAGTAAAATTGTTACAAATTCTTAAGAAGAAGAATATTTCTTTATATTTTTTCAATATCTTTATAAAAAATGCTACAGACTTCACAAATTTTAATATGATACGTATAAATTATAACTATATTTTAATCACAATATTATTTACATAGTGGCTTTAGGCACGGGCATACACTAGTGTTTTAACAAATCAAAAAATAACTTTTGACAAGAACATTTTTGGTTTAGACAATTGGGGGTAATAAATCGAAGAGTGGAAATGTTCTCAGCCCAACATGTGTCAGTCCTAGGAGACAGGGCTCCAAAACAGTATTGAAGTGAAGTGAAGCATTGCAGAGAAGCAACAAGGGAGCAGGGGAGACGAGTGTTTGCAACTAAACATTATAAACATCCACTCCAAGATCACAAAGGATTTTGGAGGATCTGAACACGAATAGGAGGTCTCCCACCCCAGAGTGAGGAAGTGGAGAGGAGGGGCGATTAAGCACAATCCTGTCGCATGCCGACCACAACCGTCGTAGGTACTCTCTCTTACCCTCCTCCTCCGCTCACCAATGACCACTGACTCTCCCTTCTCTTTCCCAGCCCCTCCCTCCCTCCATGGCTCCCCTCCCTCCATGGCTCCACCCCTTGGACCTCATAGCCCATCCCATCCCATCCCATCTCGTCCCGTCTGGTCCTTCCAACTTCTCTCTCTTCCCTACCCCTCCCCTCTTCATGTATGTTCCCTTCCTTCACCCCTTGGCTTTTTTTTTTTTTGAAATTTGTTTAATTTGCATCTATTTTTTTGTTGTAGGATGAATTTTTTTGTGATTGCCATGGATGATTTAAAAAGGTACCCGCTTATAACAAAGCGTACTTAACACAGTCATGGAACTTAAACGTGATGCTATAAACCAACAGCATGTAGTAATAGGTGGGCATGTTATGAAATTTTGTTTCAAACTAGGTGATGAAGCTGATAAATACAACAATGGAAACATTGATTTGCTCACCCAAAAGAACCATGAATATAAATTTCTCAAAAAGCCTTTCACAAGAGTCTCTGAAAGAGTTTGTGGACATGGTTGAATGTTGTTCAAACTTGAACACGCCATTTCTTCTCCCATCGAGATTGACTGCGATTCCATATCCTGACCCTACCTAGGAAAAACAGCCAATACCAACCTTCGAAATTATTATGGCCTACCATGGTTTTGAGGATTTTTATGAAATTTGGTTTCAGAAAAATCCCCAACCTTTGTTTGATACTGAAGAGGGGGAGTTCTGAGCCTATTTTGACCTAGGCAAATTAAGAATTTATTGTGCACAATGGAATATCTCATGGAAGGTCAAATTGTGTTTCCAACTATGTTATGGTTGGGGATGAAATTCGTCTCATCAATCCTAGAATAGATGGATGGATCAAAAGTGCCAGATCGTAACCTAAACAACTTAATCCGTACAGATACCTTGGCATTTAGGGATTGTTTGGTCAACCACATGGCTTCAAATTTACCCTACCAATGACTTGAATGGCTTCACTGATTGGCCTTACTTCCTGGACCTATTTGATTTTGGAGGATGAGTACCTCAAATTGGTTATAATTACATTATGTTTTTACTTTGCAACATGGTTATTTTAAACTTGTTGGGTCGAATTGCTAGATTTATCTCGAATTGTAAGCAGGATAGAATTTGCAAACGTTAAGTATGTCTTCGAAATTTAATCTGGACTCTAGATCAACATGTGAATATTAACCAGATTCTATCTTGGCAAGAGGATTCAATTGCTTAAGCAAGATTTTCCGAATTCTGTAAATTTGTTGTTGTGAATTTCAATTTGCAATCATAATTGTACTTATATTGTTGAATTAGATGGTGGATTGGCTAGGATGATTTTAGTTATTTGGCTATTAGGACTGCGTTCAATTGCCATGTTCTTATATCTGCCACACATCTATACATAAACTTCAATATCTTTTCGTATAATTTGCTATTATTGTTGATTGGTTTGTTGTTAACTTATTATATGAATTTGCTTATGTGGGATTCTTGGAAATTGAACTATTATATGGGTGATTTATTCATTAAAATTTGTGAGATACATGCTAGTTGACGATATTAAAATTTGATCTTCCTTGTTAAATTTGCCAAAATGCTCCCTTGTGATGTTCACTTGCTCTCAACTTCAACAAACTCTTCTGTACTTGGCATACACCGAGTTTTTATTATTTTCTAATTGATCACTTGCATTTTCTTAAAGTTCTTAATTAAATTATTGGAGAAGTGATCATATACCTGTTTAGAAGTGATCATATACTCGTTTAAGGGCCGGCAATTGTGAATGTTATTTAGAATTCCACAAAGGGGATATAGCATTTCATAGGGTTTCTTATTATTTTATAATTCTACTACTTTCTATCACTCTTGTAGGATTGGGCAGCTTAAAAAATATCCTATCCTTATGGATAGGGGTGAGAGATTTCAATACTATCAAGATTGGTCTGATTATTTCAAATGTTTAACATGATCGGATGAATGTTTGGGACGAAATGGATAAACATATACCAATTCTTTCTAAACATTGGGATGCTTTAATTGAAGAAGATTCAATTTTATATGAGGTTTATACTTCCAACCAAGCAAAACCCTATGAGACCACGTCCATTGAGCATCTTCAACGGTTCATATGAAATGTAATTAAACATTTTAAGGAACATGAATCAAAAAGGGTTTCTGGACAGCCTGACGCATATTGGGTAAGTATTTGGTGATTTGTGATTTTTATGTGTATTATCATTTTTGAATTGTTTGACTTTAGTCTAATATCATTTATTTTTAATTAGTATAATAGTGCATACCTTGAGAGGGACATTTCGCACACATTCCCTGGGTATTTAGCCTACATTCACAATAGTTTGGTCAGATTTCAACCTTAGTACACACTCACCTCAAAGAGATCAGGTAATTTGTTCTCACTAACATTTTTTATATTTCTTTCATATTTTTATTTTTTGACTTTGCAAAAAGTACTTTGTTATTTATTTGACCTAGAAATTGTTATTTTTTTTAGTAGGTGGCAACATTCTTTTTGGACCTGACAGTTACTCTTCCTAATTGAGAATTTGCCTTTTTTGTGTGCCTATGCTTTCCAGCCCAGCTTAGTTGGTGTGGATTTTTTTTTTTTTTTTTTTTTTTTTTTTTGAGATAGCTACTACTTTGTTACTTTTTGGGTGAATGGGTCTTTAGTTTCATTGTAACGCAACCAATCTGTCAATATATATATATATAATGTGATTAGAAACTCAACTTCAAAGTATTTCTCTTGGATGGAGCATATAATTTAGCATACATCTAAAGATACATCCCAACTTGACCTCACCACTCCCAATTACCTTGATTGAATAATAGTTACCCAACAGTTTTTCTCTATTTCAATGAAACTGAAGACCCATTCACCCAAAAAGTAACAAAGTAGAAAAAAAAAAAAAAAAAAAAAAAACACCAACCGAGCTGGGCTAGAAAGTTTAGGCGCACAAAAAGAGCAAATTCTCAATTAGGAAGAGTAACTGTCAGGTCCAAGAAGAATGTTGCCACCTACTAAAAAAAAATAACAAATTCTAGGTCAAATAAATAACAGAGGAGTCGTACATCACTTTTTGCAAAGTCAAAAAATAAAAATAAGAAAGAAATATAAAAAATGTTAGTGAGAACAAATTTCCTGATCTCTCTGAGGTGAGTGTACTGAGGTTGAAATCTGACCAAACTACTGTGAATGTAGGCTAAATACCCAGGGAATGTGTGCGAGACGTCCCTCTCAAGGTTTGCACTACTATACTGATACGCGCTAGGTTGTCAAGAAACCCTTTTTGATTCATGTTTCTTAAAATGTTTAGTTACATTTCGTATGAACCGTTGAAGGTGCTCAATTGACCTGGTCTAATAGGGTTTTGTTTGGTTGGAAGTATAAACCTCATATAAAATTGAATCTTCTTCAATTAAAGTAGCCCAATATTTCAAAAGAATTGGTATATGTTTATCCATTTCGTCCCAAACATTCATGTGCGGTTGTGGTTGAACATCTGAAATAATCAGACCAATCTTGATAGTACTGAAATCTCTCACCCCTATCCATAAGGCCGGGATTTTTTTAAGCTGCCCAATCCTACAAGAGTGATAGAAAGTAGTAGAATTATAAAATAATAAGAAACCCTATGAAATGCTATATCCCATTTGTAGAATACATAACATTCACAATTGCAGGCCCTTAAGCGAGTATATGATCATTTCTAAACAGGTATATGATCACTTCTCCAATAATCTAATTAAGAACTTTAAGAAAATGCAAGTGATCAATTAGAAAATAATAGAAACTTATGGTGTATGCCAAGTAGAGAAGAGTTTGTTGAAGTTGAGAGCAAGTGAACATCATCGGGTAGTATTTTGGCAAATTTAATAGGGAAGATCAAATTTTAATATTGTCAAGTAGCTCGCATCTTACAAATTTTTATGAATAAATCACCCATATAATAGTTCAATTTCCAAGAATCCCACATAAGCAAATTCATATAATAAGTTAACAACAAACCAATCAACAATAATAGCAAATTAACTTGGAAAGATATTGAAGTTTATGTATAGATGTATGGCAGATATAAGAACATGGCGATTGAACCCAGTGCTAATAGCCAAATAACTAAAATCTCCTAGCCAATCCACCATCTAATTCAACAATGTAAGTATTATTATGATTGCAAATTGAAATTCACAACAATAAATTTACAGAATTCAAAAAATCTTGCTTAAGCAATTGAATCCTCTTGCCAAGATAGAATCTGGTTAATATTC